CTCCTTCCCATTTCGCATGTCTATGTTTTTTTCTATATTCTGATTTTGCAGTCTGTATCTGATAATTTTAAGAACTGTGGTTTTGCAGGTTTGATTCTGCTGTTTGTTGCTCCTGCTTAATGCTCATAGTATCTTGTTTTTTTCGTGTATTTTATGATTTAATTTTTTTAATTATGATCTCATGATCAGTGGTATTCAGGGAGTGGTTTGAGGCCTGGGTTGAGAATTCTTCTCCCAGACAGCATGTGTGTTTGTTTCAATCTGGCTACTGCATGAAGGCCTACTTTAAACTGAATTCTTAGCCGAGATACTTTTGGACCACAAGGATGTTATGAAATCAGGCCCTAAACCCACATAAGGTCTGGTGTGTTATTTTGAATTCTCAGGGAACATTTTTTCTCCCTCCCACCAGAACCTAGGTTAAGATGGTAAGATTTTCACCATCTCCCCCGTTAATCTTCCCCGGGAGGGTGTGGCATCTTGCAGGGAGGTCTTTGATCTGACTCCTCAGCTTTGTCACCAGCCCCATTTTTCATAAGCAAACCAATTCAGAAAGAGGTCAGCTGACTGAGGACACTGTAAACCTTACGGGCAAGAGTTATCATTCAACTTTGGAGGAGAGCTCCATGTGACTCTCTAATGGCAGACACTATGGAGCATTGTTTGAAGAGAGTTGCAGATGTTGACCTTCTCTGACATAACAGCCAATAAAAACTCACATTAGCACAGTTCAGTATTTATTTAATTGTGATTTATACTTACTGGATGAGTTTCTTGCCAACTAGCTTATTAAAAGCTCATACACATGCATCTAAAGAGGTCATATTGCCATTTTGGAGTGTCATTCGTGATGGCAAGCAACAAGGGCGCACATATTTAAAGCTATTCTTACAACTTTAACTTGAGCATCTTTTAGTCGAAAATTAGCATAAATTAAATGAAAAACTTGAATTACCTTAGGTCCACTTTGGAAGGAACTTGAGACTGCTTTAGTGTGTTACTAAGAACTCATGGTAAACTTTGTTTATCTGATATGTTTATCTTCTCATTTCCAATAAAATTGAGCAGAGATACTTTTCAGGTCCAGGTCTCTCTGCCCCTGCCCTCTCCCTGTGTCTTCTCCTCCAGCCCTAGCTCCAACCCTGCAGACCCAAGGGGAGAGTGTGCGGAAAGGGAGCGGCTTCCTCCTTTGCTGGCCCCAGCCTGCTCCACAGTCCCTCCTTGGCCTCTGCAAGCCTGCCCATATCCTTTTGTGGAACCCTGCATAGTCACCCCTGCTGAGGGCTCCATCGGTTCCCGGTCCCTGCCAGCAGGGTAACCTAGATATCCTGCATTCTTCCTTAATGACCCGAAGGCTCACATCCTCTGGGTCCCTGCGTACAGCAAGGTGGCATGTCTGTCTCTCTGAAAGATTAGTCTCCGTGAGGCCTCTTGACTAAGTGGTGTGTCTGGTCTCCTGGGAGGTATGTGGCCAGTAGGTTTTCAAGCGATTTAATTCTTAACTAAATAACAGTGGAGGCAAGATGTTAATTATGGCAGCACCCTCCTCCCTTGGCTGCACTTCTGGGTGTGAGAACGGTAGTAGGATCATAGTTGATGCTGGAAGACGTGTGTGTGGTCCGCGGTCCACCCAACCCATTGGTGAAAGGGAACAAGCCAACACGGACATACCCTCCATAGCTGTGGCAGGTGCAACTACGGTGGAGCCCTGCACATCCCTGGGAAGTGCATTTTGAATGTGGACATTATCTGTTTTGGGTTTGGCGGAAGAAAATTGGCTGTGAACTATGTCTCAATCCATTTATTTCTGGAGGAGTGATGGGTAAACAGTGTTTGCAAGTCATCAGTTTCTCTAATGTGACAGAGAGAATTTCTAGCTCTCTGGTGTTTCTGGCATCCCCGACTGTGAGGGCCTATGCTAAGGCTGCCTGCTGTGGGTGGAGTACTGTCTGCCCAGGTACCCCAGGCCCTTTTGACAAGGGCTCTTTAAATGCAGGTTCATCAACAGCTCCAGTCCTATTGCCACAGCTATACCACAGCAGTGTGGATTCCTGCTTGGTGCATAGTCTGTTTCCACCCCTAAGGCCATGCGAGGGGCTCTTCCTGGCCATTCTGTACAGTAAAGGTGCAGTGTGAGGAGAATTCAACAACATCCTTCTTCGTGCCTGCCCCTGGGGTCCGCTGGGCATGTAATGTGGCAGGATGGCTTTGCAAGACGAGGTCCGCATGGCAGATGTTGGGGTGGCAGGGCACCCGGCTGCACACACATCTGCCAGGCCAGTGTGCACGCTGCTCACCTTGGCAAAAGAAAACCTTTCAGTTTCCATTGGTGCAGTTAGGGCTGGTGCATCAACATTCTTCACGTCATCGGGCAGTAAAATACATGCTGATTGATTGCAGCACCTTCGAAGGATATCCAGGCTTGTGAGATTGCTCTGGTTGGTTTCAGGCAGGTGGTCTGCACCAAGGGTGAGGCTAGGGGTGAGCAGACCTGAGACTTAGCTCCCGGCAATGCGGGCTCTCAGAGGGCAAGTGAATCCAGTCTCCCTCAGTCAGCTGGGGACTGACCTGGCACCTCGTAGCTGAGCAAGGCTTTGGACAAGGCATGAAACCTCTCCAAGCCTCAGCCCCTCATAGGTAAAATGGGTGTCTTAATAATTCTCTGCAGGGCTGTCACCAGGGTTCAAAGAGCAATGCAAAGTCAAAGTCTCCATTAAAGAGCGGCCACTCAGTACATATGTCTTAACCCGTCCTTGTGTTTATTGTTCATGAAACCACTTGCCATGTCATGTGCATTCACACACGGCTGCCCCGGCTGGGTGGCTGCAAGAATGACTCTTACCTTTCTGCTTCCCACAGCTGGAAAGCCCGGGCCCTTCCTTTTGGTTTCATATTACTAATCCTCCACCTTGTTTGTAAGTCCTTGTTAAGGGGAGAGTGCCTTCTTCCCGGTGGAAGTTTCTGCCTCAGTTTCCCTGCCTTCCTCAGCCTTGTAGGCACACCTGCCCTGCTGGGTTCTTCCACTAGCTGCAGCCCCTGCCTCTGCATCTCACACTTCCTGAGGGCAGGGCTGGGAGGAACCCGGCGAACACCAGAAGTGGAAACTTGGTGCTCCTTCTCCCTCAGCTTCCTGGTGCTCAGGACTCCGCATGTGGGCACAGCCAGGAAGTCCAGTTCTCAGGCTTCATGCCCCAAGTCCCATGTCCCCTCCCACGCAGCCATTTGAGTCCCTTGTCAAGCCTCAGGAGACCCCACTGGTGGCTTTGAGCTGGAGGTGGCTGCCCCTAAGGCCAGCCTTGTGGCTGCAGGAAGGAAAGTGTGCTCCTGGCCCCCAGGAGGGACTCACACAGCATTTCCCCTTGAAACTCTGAGGTACTGGGTGGGCACAGCAGTCCTGCAGTGCTGTGGGTGAGCTGGCATCAGGGACCATCCTGTCACCTGAATCTCCAAGCGTGCATTGTCTCTGTGGGAAAACTGGGTCCAGGCACCAGCTGATTCGCAGACTCACTGACTCCAATGTAAAAATGGACTGTGTCCAGACTCCTTCCCCTTCCCCCCCTCAGGTCTAGTAGAACAATGGCTTCTAAAAGGCAAAATGGAATATTTGCAAATAACAAAATGTGCCTTGGACTGTTTGGAAACAATGTCGTACTTCTCCTTTTCAGTGTGAACCAGCATTGATTTATATTTCAGCCTAGACCTCCAAGACCTTGATGGGCTTGGCTCCCTTTGCCCTTAGTTCTCTGAGCCTTGCATGTGGGACCCCTTACAAAAGGCTAGGAGGGGCTAGGCCCACCGGGCTCTGAGACAGCGCTGCCCTGGTCCCGGCAGATCTAGTAGCCACGGCCTCGGCTCAGAGGCTCAGCTCTGGTCGGCCTGCTGGTCCTTCCCCGCCTCGTGGCCTGGGGGCCCTCCTGTGCACCCGGGCCTGGCTTCTTCTCTTATTTAATGAACATTTGGGTAACTGAAACCTGGTCTCTACCCCCGTGGAACTTTCTGCCTGAGTTTCTCGTCCAATACGCTGATTCAGGGTATTTACATTTTTGTAAGGAAGACCCAGGGGATTTCCCAGAGCAAAATGGTGCTGGTCTTTTAAGATGGAAATGTGCATTGTGAGCCCCTGAAAGGAGAGTGAAAAGGGAGGGAGACCTTGCTGCTCAGTCACCCTGGCGAGGACTTCTCCGTGTGTCCTCCGGGTGGATGTGAGGGCGTCGCAGGGGACAGACGCTGGGGAGAGAAGGGCTGATCATGCATCTGAAGGTCATTCAATTACTTTCTGTTATACATGGTGGAAATCTGAGGAAATTAGTAAAATCAGAACCAAGGGAAACTGTCAACAGTCCCCATCACCTGAAGAAAGTCACTTCTCAGGTTTTGGTGTCCCTCCTCCCAGTCTTTCTCCCCTCCTTTTTATTCTGGCGTAGTGGTGATCACTATCATGGCAGTGATTCAAAACAACTTTCCTTTGTGGGAGGAGGGGAGAGACATCCTTTTATTTGGAAAAAATGGTAAACGCTTGTTATTGTTAAAAAGGTAGAAAATACAGATGAACTATGATGACGCAGTTGGAACAGGGTGATTTTAGAAGTATTTGCTTACAAAGCAATGTTTACAAAGACATGCCCTCTGTGTAGGAAACTTGGAGTTGAGTAATAACATAGAGCATGTAGCCACTGAAAGGACAAGGGAGGGAGGGACCAAGGGAGGGAGGGACCCAGGGAGGGAGGGCCCCCCAGAGCCGAGAAGTAGGGTCATAGGAAGGTTAAGGAGACGTCACGCTGGTCACTTGTATGGGCCTCTTCCCAGGCGCTAGGAGATGTCTCAGGATGTGTCCATGTTAGCAAAGTGAGAAATTTGCAGAAGTCACACATTTTAGCCAGGATCCGGTTATTCCATTTCTCTTCCCATTCTTATTTCCTTCTGCACATTGGCCCATGCTTGGTAGTTGGAGTGACACTGGCATTTTGTTTATCATGTAATGTTCTTTTTCTTACAGGACCACCCTAATTGTGTCCGTTCCAGGCCGCACAACACCTGGCTCCACCGTTGTGGAGGAGATCGAGTTGCCTGTGGTTGGCTGCTTTGCAGTGCACCCTGGGGGAGGGTGGGAGAGCAGGTGATCTCTCTCTCCTCCTCCTCCTGCTGAGGCCCCCACGGGTGAATCCCACCCAGAAGCCAGAGGCCCCAGGAGCCTTCCAGGCAGACGGCAGGTGGAGGAAGGCAGAGAGTGGACCTGGAGGGGCAGATGGAAGATCTTGGCTCATCATATATCCAACGCCTAAAGAAAACCACAGGTGCCGTTTGGCAGATATATGCTTACAGTCCCTTAAGGCAATGCTTTAATTTTGCTTGAGGCAGAAAAAAGCAGGACAGGGAAAAACTAATAAAGAAGGGCCAGAGGCAGGGAAAACACATCGCCAAGGTTCCCAGCATAGGAGAACATAGGCTGAGCTGGAAAATGACCTGGTTGCTTGGAACAGGATCACAAAGTCAGTGAGTTAAGTCACAGATGCAAAAGCACCTGCTTAAAGTCTGAGAACCAAAAAGGAAGCTCCCAATTCTCTAGCCATGGCTGAAGGCACACATGTGGATCAGCCCCTGAAACCCCTGAAACTCAGGAGGGCTTCCTGCCCTGCGGGAGGGGCACCAGCAAGCCTGTGTTCAGAGCAGCTGCGAACTGCGAGTGCTGGGCTTGTGGAGCGAGGCCCTTGGCTTGTCAGCATCTGCTGCAGTAAAGGGAGTGGAGTGTCTCAGACGTCTTTAGAAAATGAAAATGTTTTCTTTGATAATGTTTTGAATATTTCATCTCTATTTGTTTCTGTTTCTGTCATTTCAGGAAACGTATCTTGCATTGTTATTTAACAATCTGTTTGTGTAGAGCTTTGTTCAGAAAATCGTTTCCCACCTGCTGTCTACATCACAGTTGGAGAGGGTCCTGGACAGAGGTTCACAAGGACACAGTACACCAGGAGTGACGGTGAGCCTCAGGGTGCGTCCTGGGTGGACACAGAGCTCAATCTCATGGAGGAAAGTGTCACTGGAAAAAGTCCCAGGTGGCTCTGATATCCACCCCTCTCCCTTCCTCCTTTCTGGGAAAATAAGTGAGTAAGACACAGTCCCTTCACTTTGAGGGGTTATTAATTCTTCGTGCATCTTACACAAAAATGTATAACGTGGAGCATCACTAAGGATCCAGAGGGAGTAACGAATTCCAAATAAGAGCTATCCAGGAAGGCCTCAGGAAGAAAGAAATGTTTAGACTAAAGGCAGATGTGTCAGGGAAAGAAACTCCATAGTAACTTGAACAGGGAATGTTTAATTCAAAGAATTTTTAATTATAACAGAGGACTGGAGTAAGGAGGGATTGGCTAGAAAGAAGTAAAGAGAACTCTAAGGAACGTGGGATTAGCAGACATAGGAGCAGTCATGACCCCTAGGACTGAGACAGGGCATCCAGGGAGAAGCCCCTGCCCCCAGGGCTGAGGTCCAGACTTTGGAGAGGGCACTACAGCACTCCCTGGGTGCCAGAATCCTGTCCTCTTGGGCACCAAGAAAGCTGCTCATGGGGAAGTGTCTCATTAGAGGCACCCACCACAAATAGCAGGGGGTGCAGGAAAGGGTCTGGCCGCCATGTGCTGGGAGAACGGGGCATCAGAGAAGGTGTGAGCAGGGCAGGAGCCCTAGATGCTAACACACCAAACCAGGAAACCAAACTCTTCCTCCTGCTGTGTCTCTCTGGCACCTCTCCTGTCAAGCTTAATAATCATGCCAACTGGCAAAGTAGAAATAGTTAAAGGGGCCCACACTTATTTTCACAGAACAGGCAAAAAGGGTGCATTTGTAGCTGAGAAGCAGTGAGTTGATAAGCATCAGAGTAGGGGTTCGCCGAATGTCAAGATTGGAAGTTTGTAGCTAAAAGACAGTGAGTCGATAAGCATCAGAGTAGGGGTTTGCTAAATGTCAAGTTTGGAAGGGGCTTTAATGGTCCTATATTCCATCCCCCATCCTCAGGGTTTGAATCTCAAATCCTCACATGCCAATCAAGTGGTTGCCAAGCTCATGCTGAGGCATCCACAGCGGCAGGTGGCCTCTACTTCCTGTCTGAGATTCTCAGGACGTTCCTGTTCACACTGAAGCCATGCCGCTTCTAGAAATAACGAGGTCTCACCTGACAGCTCTTCAAATACATACATGAGCCATTTTTCTGCTGTGCTTTCTCTTTGCTTCTGCTTTGTCTCTTGTAAACTACACATCGTACCTCTGTGACAATTCAGAATCTTCACTCTATACCAGTCATGGGCACGAGTACACTGCTATAGGTCTAGGGCTCTGCAGGGGTGGGGAATGTCTCCCCTCAAAAACCTGCTCCAGCTGCACTCTGACAGTGCAAAATGGAGCAGGACCATTGGACCCTTTCATATTTTGCCATTTCATCCATAACTCACCTCGTTTTGCTGGTCATGGTGATTGATCTAGGGAGTGACTCCTGATCTGTGTCAGAAATGGGACTAGGAAAGATAAGTCTCTTTTCACACCTGGTCATGAAACTAAGACGAAATGAGCCCTAAAAGCTGCCTTCAACTCTGATTCCAGCTTGAGAGGATGCATCCGAGAGGAGAGAGAAGCAGAGAAAAAAACCAAAGATGTCCTGATGCCATGACAGCCCCTGGTTCCTGTCATTGCTGAGGCCAACTCCGCCCCTCGCTCTGCCTCCGTGTGGTTCCATGAGCCAGCAGATGTCTCCTTTTTTGCTTAAACCAGTTCTAGCTGGGTTTCTGGAAATTACCAACAAATAATATCAACCTACATGGCCTTCTTACCTTAAAGGAAAAAAAAAAAAAAAAAAAAAGCTGGAAACATTGGCTCACTCCTTTGCCACAGGGCTTCTGTAGAAGCAAATGTCACTTTAGCTAGAACTGGGAGTTTGTTGTGAAGGATGTTTAGGGACAGCATATTTAGAAACTAAGATCTTGCTCCTCCCCATGTCTTCCCTTTCCTTTCTGAACAATTCAGTCCTAGAGCAACCAGATGGGGGCTCAGAGCGGGGTGAGGAGGGTGTCCAGGGTGGGGGCTCCTGTGTGAGGAGTCAGAGTCCATGTGGGATGACGGGAGCATTTTCATGGAAAGATCGCCCTGTCGGGGTATCAGGGCCCAGACAGGGTGAGGAGGACATCCACACCAGGGGACCAGGAACATGGAGGAGATGGAGCCTGAGCAAGAAGAGGGTGCTTGTGTGCAGCCAGGGTGGGGCTTGCCACGGAATGGGAGGTCAGTTACTGTGGGAGGCTGAATAAGAGCACCCAGAGAGGTCCACATGTTGAGCTCCAGAACCTGTGAATCCTCCCTTATATGGCAAAGGGGGTGTGGTTAAGTTCAGATGGGAGATTATCCTGAATTATCTGAATTATCTAGGTGGGGCCACTGTACTCACAAGGGCCCTTACATGAGAGAGGCAGGGAATCAGTAGTAGGAAGTGTGAGGATGGAAGCAGAGGTTGGAGTGATTCAAGGAGGGGCCCAAGCCACAGAATGCAGGTGGCCTCTGGTAGCTAAAAATGTCAAGAAAGCAGATGTGGCCACAAAGCCTCCAGAAGGAAGGCAGCCCTGCTGGCACACTAATTTTAGCCCAGGATGTCTAGAATTGTAAGAAAATACATTTGTTGTTTTGTTGTTGTTGTTTTTTGAGACAGAGTCTCACTCTGTAGCCCAGGCTGGAGTACAATGTCGTGATCTTGGCTCACTGCAACCTCTGCCTCCCGAGGTTCGAGCGATTCTCCTGCCTCAGCCTCCCAAGTAACTGGAATCATAGTGCCCGCCACCATCCCTGGCTAACTTTTGTATTTTTAGTAGAGACAGGGTTTTGCCATGTTGGCAAGGCTGGTCTCGAACTCCTGACCTCAGGTGATCCCCCTGCCTCAGCCTCCCAAAGTGCCGAGATTGCAGACATGAGCCACTGCGCCTGGCCATTGGTCTTGTTTTAAGCCACGAAAATTATGGTAATTTGTTTCAGCAACAATAAGAAGCTAATCAAGTTACATCCAATGGGACTGAGCAAATAAATAATTATAACGAGGACAATGGAAGCTAGGTCTCTCACTATGGGGAAGGGAGTTACAAACATGGAAATGGAGAAAACTTGAATGAACTTTGTATAATGTATTGGAATTAGAGATGCTGGTGGGAACCAATTACTGTTAATACAGACATATGCATATATATTTTCATGTGAACGTATGTCTCTGTGTGTGTGTGTGTGTGTGTGTGCGCATACATACAGATGTCTTGGCTTTCACCACTGAGAGAGCCGCCTGGGAGTTGTAACACACCAGTTGCAATGAGCACACTTTGCAACCAGATCTTGGCTTCTAGATATGGTTTTCCACTAAGGCTCCTTGGAAAGGCAGATTCCAGGGAATCTTAAAGAAAGTGCAAGATGAGCCCGCACTGACTTCTTGTGCCAGAAAACAAGGAAGTATTCAAAGAATGATGACCATATATTGAAAGGACACAGAGGCTAGCCCTCACTGGCCAAATCAGGAATAATCTGAGCTGTCAACTAAATACTGAGAGTAATGGGTTATAACTCACTAAATAGAACAGTAAACCACAAGTTCACACAGATGGAAATAAACAGATGAATAAACTGAAAGTTTGAAAATGAGACATTTGCATACATTCAAAGAATCTTCCTTCAAAATACTTACTAATGAACTAGAGAAAAGAGAAAAAGTGGAACAGCCTGACAGCCGGTTCCAATCACAGTGAACATCATCAGTCATGGGACAAATTGGCATTGGTGACCACCGAATGGGTTGCCATGAGAACACACCCTCACTTCTATGATATGCATGCCAGAAACCTGAGACCTGAATCTCATCATAAGGACTCATCAGACACACCCAAATGGAAGAATGTTCTACAAAATAATCAATCTGTTATGTTCAGATGTGTCCAGGTTATGAAAGTCAAGGGAAGACTGAGAAACTGGGCTAGACTGAAGGAAACTAAAGAGACCAGCAACTAAATGCACCACGTGATTCTGAGGAGTCTTTCTCTAGAACAGACAGCTTGGGATAGTTGTGATGCAGGGCAGGTTCTTGGCTTCGCTCGGGAAAGAATTCAACAGCCAGCTGGTGGTGGAAAAGGGCAGCTTTATTGAGTCCGGCAGTGATGCATCTCTGTGCCTGCTCCTTGGGGAGCAGGGCTACCCCACAGGCAGTGCGTGGACAGTAGTAGCCTATGGGCCACTGCTAGTCATAGTTCCATCCACTTTTAATGACATGCTAATGAAGGGGCGGGTCATTCAGAAATAGCCAGGAAATGGGTGGTAACTTCCGGCCACTGCCATGGCATTGGTAAACTGTCATGGCGCTGGCGGGAATGGCTAATGGTGATGGGCAGCAAGAACAACCAGAGGCGCTTTTTGTGTCTTTTTCTAGTTTTGGCCCGTTCTCGATCTGGTCTGGGAGACGAGTCCTGCTGACCTCCTACCTCAGCTGGCCAAACTTGAGTGGAGTCTGGGAACTCGAAGGAAGGAAAGTGTGGATGCTAACTTCCTGATTTTGTGGTTACATTGGGATAAAGCGGAAGAATATCCCTACTTGTGGGAAATACACACTTAAGTATTTTGAGGGTGACAGGACATGAGTTCAGCAACCTTCTCTCAAATGGTTCAGGGAATAAAGATTCTTTTTACCTTGAAAATTTACCTTGAAATTTTTCTCTAAGTTTATGGTTATTTCAAAATAGAAAGGAAGGAAGGATCTCCCTTAATAATTTTGTCTCACGTTGTTTTAAGCTCTTTAGCGTATTTTCAAAGGTAAGTGGAAATGAAAAAAATGTAACTATTAGCATATATAAAATGTAAATCTTAAAACCATGATCAACCCAAATAATTGTAGTAGATATACTGAGATATTTATTCTTTAATTCCCTTCAGGACTTAGATGTTTTTAAGCTGAATCATTTTTATGTTTTGAAGCTAAAATCTATATATTGACGTTTGAGGAGTGTGAAATCACAATACTTCAGAATGTTACCAACTTTTCAGAAAAACGCGACCTGGGTTTGACCCTATGTGCTTAGTAGCCCATTAGGCCCTCTGTGCTTTGATATACTCTCATGGCAAAAGTTTCCTGGTCTTACTCAGAGATCAGAAAAATTCTTTTCTGTGTCAAACTTTACAATGAAGTGAAAGTAGAGAAAGCAATGGTTCACTCAGAACTTTCTATTCAGGGCTTTTTCTTTTCTTAAAAACTGAAAGCTGAGAATGAAAAATTTCAAATATAGATAACAGCAAGTAACATAAAGTATACCTATGTACCCACCAATAAGGTCTAACAAATGTGAATATTTTTGCCTAAAAAATAAAAATATTGTAGAGACGTTGAAAATATTCCTATGTATCTGTCTCTATCTCATTTCCCTCTCTCTCCCTATACCACAGGGTAACCTCTGTCCTCAAGTTGATACATAGCCTTTCTTCCATCTGTGGTTTTTTGTATAGCTCTACAAACAATACATGCTTTGCTTTGAGTGCTTTAGAACTGTACAGAAATAGTGTCACTTTATATGAACATTCTGCAACTTGCTTTTTTTAATTGGGGTAAAATTTAATGAAAAGCATGGATCTTAACTGTACAGTTGATGTCCTTTGATAAATATGTATACTCACATAACCACTCCTCCAGTGGGAACACAAAACATTTCCAGCACCCCCAGAAAATTCCCTTCCAGTCTATCCCCACCTCTAGAGATGACTATTTGATTTCTGGCACCACAGATTAATACGACTGTCCTTCAACAGTCACATGATGTCTTTGTCAAACGTCAATTGACCATAGTGTGTGAGTCTGTTTTTGGACTCTATTTTGTTTCCTTGCTCTGTTTGTTCTAGTGACAATACCACACTAGGTCCATTAATGTAGCTTTATAATAAGTCATGAAATCTCAAACTGTGAGTCTTTCAACACATTCCATTTCAAGAGATTGTTAGCTATTTTTAGGTCCCTTGCATTTCGATAAAATTTAAAATCAACTTGCTAATTTTGATAAAAAGAAGCTTCTGGGGTTTTGATTAAGACTACATTGAATCCATGGAGCAATTTGGGAGAGCACTGACATTAACAACATTTATTTCAAATCTTTTGAATAAATATCCAGAAGTGGGATTGCTGGATCATCTGGTAGTTCTATTTTAATTTTTTTTGAGGAGCCCCATACAGTTTCCCATAGCGGCTGCACCATTTTGCACTCCTGCCAGCAGTGTGCAAGGGTCCCAGTTTCTCCACGTCCTCAGCAGCACTTGTTGCCTTTTTTTCTGTAAAGACCATCCTAATAGGTGTGAGGTGATATTTCACTGTGATTTTGGTTTACATTTTCCTGATGAATAGGGACATTCAGCCATTAGTCTTGAGTTCAATGATCTTTTTTCATAGACTGATCGGACGTAGGTATGTCTTCTTTGGAGAAATGTCTATTCAAGTCCTTAGCCCATTTTAAAATGAGTCTATTTTTTTTTTCCTGTCAAGTTGTAGGAGTTTCTTATATATTTTAGAGATTAACCCTTCACCAGATAAATGGTTTGCAAATATTTTCCCCCATTCCATAGGTTGCCTTTTTACTCCGTTGATAGTTTCCTTTGCTGTGCAGGTTTTTAGTTTGATATAATCTCAGTTGTTTATTTTGTCTTTTGCTGCCTGTGCTTCTGATGTCATTGCCAAAATCAATGTCCTGAAGCTTCTCCCTTTTGTTTCCTTCTAGGAGTTTTACAGCTTCAGATCTGGGTATTTATCCAAAAGACTTGAAACCGGGGTCCTGAGGAGATACAAACACTTCCCAGTTCATTACAGCACTATTCACAGTATCCAAGGTAAGGAAACAGCCTAAATGTCCTCTGTCAGATGAATGGATAAAGAAAATGTGGTATATACATACAACAAAATATTACCCCGTCTTAATAAAGAAGGAAATTCTGATATATGTGACAACACGAATGAAACTTGACATTTTGCTAAGTGAAAGAAGCCTGTCACAGAAAGACAAATACTCCATGATTCCGTCTATATGGGGTATCTAAAATAGTGAATCTCATAGAATCAAAGAGTGGAACGATGGTCATTAGTGGTGAGGGTTTGGGGGATGGGAGTTACTAATCAGTAAGCATAAAGTTTTGATGTATAAATGTATAACATTATATCTAGTCAATAATAATGTATTGTACACTTAAAAATTTCTTGAAAGAGTAGATCTCCTTTTAAGTGTTGTTACCACATTAAAATAAAATCTAAACAAAGAAGAATATGGAAAGAAAATGAGAACAACACAAGTGAGTCTCCCAATCCGTGAACAAGATCCTTCTCCATTTATTTTATTTTTCTGTAATTTCCCTCAGGACTATTTTCGTTGTTTTCAGTGTAGAGGCCATGACTGTCGTTTGTTAAATCTATTCCTATGAATTTTATGTGTTTCAAGGTGACATACACAAACACAATTGACTTTTTTTTTTTTTTTTTCTTGAGACGGAGTCTCATTCTGTCGCCCAGGCTGGAGTGCAGTGGTGCTACCTCCACCTCCTAGGTTCAAGCAATTCTCCTGCCTCAGCCTCCCACGTAGCTGGGATTACAGGTGCGTGCCACCATGCCTGGCTAATTTTTGTGTTTTTAGTAGAGATGGGGTTTCACCATGTTGGCCAGGCTGGTCTCGAACTTCTGATCTCAGGTGATCCACCCACCTCGGCCTCCCAAAGTGCTGGGATTACAGGTGTAATGCCATCCAGCTGCACACTAACCAGAAGGGCTAACATGAAAATTACTGAATGTGAGCAAGGATGTGGAACCAACAGAATTCTCATGCACGAAGGCTTCTCCAGTGCTACATGGTGAGAGACCAGCCTTTCTTTCCTTTTACATTTCCATTGCAGACCAAAACACATGGTCCCCATTGCATGTGAAGCTCCTCCCACACCCACCTCATAATGCAAGTGTGACAGCATCTAAACTGGTCAATGCCCTGCTGGACGAGAAGAGCCTATGTCAAAGCACTGTACCCGGCCACACAATTGACATTTGTATACTGAGTTTGTATTCTTTGGCTTTTCTAAATTGACTTATTAGTTCTTGAAGTTGTTTTGTACACTTGTCAGGATTTTCTGCATAAATAATCCTGTCAACTGATAATAAAAGTTGTTTTACATCATTCTTTCCAATCCATATGGCTTTTATTTCTTTTCTTCTTCCTTTTGCATTAGCTAGAGCTTCTAGTACACTGTTGAAGGGAAATGGTTAAAATGAATATCCTTGCTTTGTTCTCAATTTTAGAAGTGAAGTGTTCAACCACTGAGTATGATTTTGGCTCTAAGTATTCATAGGAGGCCTACGTCAAATTCATACACATCGAATATCAAATTGGGGAAGTAAGTCAAATTAAAATCATTCTATTTTTAGTGCACTTCAAGTTGTTATCATGAATCGATTTTGAATTTTGTCAAATGCTTTATTTTATTAATTTAGCAAGTTGTACTATTTTCAAATGTTAAACTTATTTTTCATTTTAGTTATGAATTCCACTTAGTCACAGTATATCATACATATTGTTGGATTTGCTTTGCTTTTTTATTTTTAAAGGGTTTTTATATCTATCTTTATGAAGGATATTGGTCTATAATGTTTTCTAGTAATGTTCAGTTATTTTCAGTTTGGGTCTCTCATAAATAGTCTTGCTGTAAACATTTTTGAGTATTTCTTCTGGTGCAATGTATACAGCTTGAAGTTGGGCATGTACCTTGCAGTGAAGTTTCTGGGTCACAGGGTATGAGCATGTTCAACTTTAGTGAATACTGCCAAAGTGGATGTGCCAATTCACATTCCTACCTTCAGGGACAGCAGTGCCCCTCAGAGTGTGGACTGTGAGCTATTTGTTATTAGATTGCAATGAGGTAAGCCCAGAAATTAAGCGTGAGCATTTAGAAACTTTTATAGAAATTTGGTGTTGCTTTGACATCAAATATTGCTTTGACATAGGCTCTTCTCGTCCAGCAGTGCATTGACCAGTTTAGATGCTGTCACACTTGCATTATGAGGTGGGTGTGGGAGGAACTTCACATGCAATGGGGACCATGTGTTTTGGTCTGCAATGGAAATGTAAAAGGAAAGAAAGGCTGGTCTCTCACCATGTAGCGCTGGAGAAGCCTTCGTGCATGAGAATTCTGTTGGTTCCACATCCTTGCTCACATTCAGTAATTTTCATGTTAGCCCTTCTGGTTAGTGTGCAGCTGGATGGCATTGTGACTACAGTTTGTATTTCCCCAATGACTAAGGAAGTTGCCGGCCTTTTCATATGTGTATTGGTTTCATATGTGTATCTGCATATTCCTAGGTGTGAAGTACTTCCAATTTTCAACGTATATGTGTTAAGTTTTCCTAAAACATTTACCCTGGATACTGTTCCCCCGCCCTCCTCCCATATTTCCATGATGAAGCAGGTGGGCAAAATATGGAGAGAACAAAAACCTGATTCACAAGTGTCATTCACCGGACTTTATTCATTTAGTCAATATTTATGAGCGTCCGGCACGCGCCAAGCACAGTGTGTGGAAACAGGGATGCAGAAATGAATAGAATAGAAATGTTCTTGTCCACTAGGGATTTATACTCCAGTTGTGGAGAAGATAGATAGTGTGCTGATACCTTTGGATGGTAGTAAGTGTCATGAAAAAATAGGATAACAAGAGAGTAACTAGGATGGGAACATTCTTTGGTTAGCACGGCGAAAGAAGGTTTTCTAAAGTCATTATATTTAAGCCTGCATCAAAAAAATGAGAAGCAGGTGGCCATATAACAGGCCAGAAAGAGAATTCCAGGAAGCAGGAATGTCAGGTGCAAAGGCCCTGAGGTAGAAGCAAAGTGGTCTGAGGGTTAATTAGAGAACACTCCTTTACTTTGGTGCAAATTGACACAATAGACGCCATAGACACCTAGTGTGGTGGATACTGGTGGTGCTGCTCCCAGATGCAGGGACCCCCTTAGGTTCTGATGTGCCCCTCTTTCACCGTTAATGTGGGTTTACTGCCCAGGCTTGTGACTGGAACTAACCCTCGAGAGACTGTCTGTAGGTGGGTTACTGGATCCACCGTGCCCACACAGGCTGTGATCAGGAAGTACCTGAGGGGCTGCACTCTCCCTCCTACCACCCAGCAGCCCTAATCTGGTAGTTGGAGGATGTAGGGGTATGAAACCCCAGCCCCTGTGACAGCAGCTGGGGTGAGGCAGAAGAATAGGGTCTGGAGACAGGCAGCCTAAGACCCACTAGCCTCTGACTTCTTGGAACTGGACCGAAAGGAAAACTCCACCTCTCCATGCCCATGTGACAGGGGGCCAGAGGCCCCTCCCTCTACAAAACCCCCTCTCGGGAAATGCCTCTGATTGGTCAGAGGCCAAGCCTTCACTTCAGCCTGATTGGTCACAGGCCAATCCTTCATTCGCAGAAGGTGTAACCAGTTGGAGGCCTCTATTGGAGGCCTCTAAAGGGTACCTAGGGGTGTCACCAAATCCTTCTAGTTTAATAAAAACCCTAAAGAACATTGCAACTGGGGCTTTTGAGCCGCCTGATGGATCCTGCTCCCACTCTGTGGAGTGTACTTTCGCTCAATACATTTGTGCTTTTGTTGCTTCATTCTTTTGTTGCTTTGTGCATTTTCTTCAATTATTTGTTCAATGTGCTAAGAACCTGAATGACTCAGTCAAGACCTTCTATCTGGTAACAGGGGCAAACTCAGGGTGTCATTCAGGCTCAGAGAGCCATGGGGATCACACTGAGGCTGGGATTTAGCCAGAAATCATACCCTTGGTTGTCCTTTTCTATTTTCCTTCCTAATTTTTTTTTTTTTTTTCTGAAAGCACTTCCTTAATAAATTAGTTGTCCCTGAACTCTTAACTTAGGGTCTGCTTTTAAGACTTAAAAAAGTCTGCAGTCTTAGGACTTAACACCCCTGCTATAGGTTTCTACAATTGTTTTTCTTTTTCTTTTAATGATATATTTTTTTCTGTGGTACTAGGTAAGAGCATCAGGCACACTTGGGTTGGAATGCCAATTGCCATTCAGTCATAGCCACCCTCAGGAAGGTCACCTACTCTCTCTGGGTCTCAGTTTCCTCAATTACAAAAGTGGGACAAAGACAGTGCCACCTTTATGGCTGCTCTGAAGATTAAATGAAAGAAGATAGGCAACATACTTAATAGAAAGATGGGAAAACAGTGAACACTCAGATTTACCTATGACTATTAAACCTTTCTAAACTTCATCAGAGAGTTCAAAAAAATGTTGTCAAGCCTTGGGATATACATCTGTTGCATTCCTTTAAAAATGTATGGTATCACTGGAATTTGGCTGGGGACAGAGGAGAGAGGAGGAAGAGAAATAGCCATTCTAGGTAGTTGCAAGGTACCATTCATGTGTACCTTCTCATTTAATCCGGACAAGCACCCAGTTAGAATAGGAGGTTCTATTATAATTATTAAAGATAAGAACCTAACACTCAAAGAGGCTGTTATCTGAGGAGACATGGTGTTGAAGAGGTTAAAATATGCGATTCCAGCGTATTGACTTAAGTTCGACACTTTAAAAACAGCAGGTGCAACAAGATGACTTTGACCTTTCTGCTGTTTCTTAAAAGCAGAGGGTGAAATTCCTATATGAAAGATGCCCTCCCTAGATGATGCAACATTTTTATATAGTCAAAGTTGAAACTGAGAGAATTCTGTACAGATCTTGTTAAAAATAACTCTCATCTTTTAAGCCTCTCCACATACTTTAGTGGCTTCTTCACAACGAACTCTTCTCTGTCCAATCCACTACATAAGTAACTGACTTCAGCTACTTCTTTGGGGCCTTCATTTCTTTATGAGGCTCCTGTGCTGCGTGAAGTTTGTATTAAGTTTTTCTTCTCTTCATCTATCTTATGTGGATTAAATTCTTGGACCCAGATGGGACCCTAAGAGGATGGAGGTAGACTCTTCCCACCCCTACAGTGTGTATATATCAGGGTTCCAAGCCAGGTTGTCTGGACAGAGGAACCCACTTCCCTTGAGTTGAGGGGCTGACTTTGCTTTTAGGCCCTCGCCCTGCAGAAGGGGCTTGGTGTTGCTCTTATTCTGGGGGAAGGTCCAGTCCCAGCTGAAATGACTCCTGCCATACCCAGCTACTAGATAATGAAGCTTCTTCCCAGGGTCACAACTCCAAGAATGAGGAACGCCTTGTCCTCAGGCCAGTGGCGCAGTTGAGCCTCTCTGGGGTCATATCACAGTCACCATAACCGCAATGTCTCTACCCTAATGGGGCTCCCAGAGCAGAGACCTTACCTGCCGCCGCTCTGGCCCACCAGGATCCTCGCACTTTTAAGTCAGGTGCGGTTTCAGGAAGAAGCTTGGTGGTCCCACATCTACAGGCAAAGCAGATCCCAGAGCAGAGATAGCTGACCGCCTGCCCTGTGGGGTGTACAACCCCAGGTGCAGATAACAGACAGGGAGGGAGGAAGGAGCTTAGCTGAAAACCCCTCCTGACCCTTTTCCAACAGGCACTCAGGGGTAGCAAAACATCCAGGAACTTTGAGTTCTGGGTCAGCTGGGACAGCTGTAGGGACAGCGTCCTGTTCGTGCCTTCTCTGAGTTTTCTATTAGGTGCCACCAAATACATTCCTACCCAAAGGAACCATTATGTAGGACCTTATTAAAAAGGTTAAAATATGCATTCTGGCATGGTAACTGTTTAAGTGAAAGGCACTTGAAAAACAGCAGGTGCAAGATCACTCTCCCCATACCAGAAGGAAAGACAGCATCCTTATCCTTAGGACTAGAAACTGCCACCTAAAGAATACTGCACAGACCTCGTTAGAGTCACTCTAATCTTTTTAGTCACATTTTCAAAGTTTTTTCTTATCTGTTCAATCCAGTATTTAAGTAGTGGACGCCAACTGCTTGCTCGGGTCTGCCCTCCCTCCCTCCCTCCCTTCCTTCTTTTCTTCCTTCCTTCCTTCTTCTTTGCTCGGGCGTGCAATTTCTTTCTTTCTTTCTTTTTCTTTCTTTCTTTTTCTTGCTTTCTTTGCTCGGGTCTTTCTTTCTTTCTTTCTTTCTTTCTTTTGACGGAGTCTCGTTTCTTTCTCTTTCTCTCTTTTTTTCTTTTTTTTTCTTTTGACAGAGTCTCGCTCTGTAGCCCAGGCTGGAGTGCAATGGAGCAATCTCGGCTCACTACAACCTCCGCCTCCCGGGTTCAAGCGATTCTCCTGCCTCCCGAGTAGGTGGGATTACAGGCGCGTGCTACCGCGCCCCGCTAATTTTTTTATTTTTAGTAGAGATGGGGTTTTACCATGTTGACCCGGCTGGTCTCGAACTCCTGACCTCGCGATCCGCCCGCCTCGGCCTCCCAAAGTGCTGGGATTACAGGCGTGAGCCAACGCGCCTGGCCGGGTCTGCATTTCTTTATGAGGGCTCCCATGCCGCGTGAAACTTGCAGTGTGCTTTCCTCCTATTCATCTATCTTGTGTCAATTTAATTCTCGGACCCAGCCGGGACCCCTAGAGGACGGAGGTGGAGTTCTGCCCTTACACTGAAAACACAAACTTCCAAAACAGGGACACTCTTCAAAACTTTGAAAGAGACCTTTTAGGTCCTAGGGCAATTGAATCTCGTTTTCTTAAAAAGCCCTGCTTGCTTACCCTCTCGTTTTCCCCCAGCACTGTTTTCTGGGACAGAGTGGGAGGCCCAAGGAGACAGCAAAGTTCAGGCCCCAAGCACCCAGCTCCTCCTCCCAGGGTGCGAGCCTGCCCAGGGTTCCCGACCCACCCCGCCCCATTCCTCGCCGGCACTTGGTCCGCCCCTCCCCGTCTGGAAGCCTCCCGCAGCCCCGCCCGGCGGAACTAGGGGACCGGTGGGGAACGTCAAAGGGCGAGGGCGGTGACCCCGGGGCCCGAATCCTCTCAGGCTCCTGGGTCGGGTGCCCGGCCGTGCGTGAGTGCGGAACAAGTATGGGCGCGGGGCCGTGCGTGGGTGCGGGGCTGGGTGCGGGCCCTGGGTGGGCGCGGGGCCGGGGCTGGCGGGGCAGGGCGTGGGGCTGTAGGAGGGCACGGGGTCGTGCGTGGGTGCGGAGCTGGGTTCAGACCGTGGGTAGGCAAGGGGCCGGCGCTGGCGGGGCAGGGCGCAGGCTGCTGCAAGGCGGCCTTGTGGATTCTTGGCCCGGAGCGAGGGCGGGCCCCGGACGCACTCGGGGTTCGCCTTTTCTCCTTTTCAAAAAAAACTGCGTTGCGTTTTCCTTCCTCTAGCTTGGAAACAATTTGCTCTTTTTTCCCCAGTCTCTGCCATAAACACTTGAATGTGCATGCAACTGCAGAGCTTAATGCCACAACCTCCAGGAGATTGGGGGGAGGGGGAAGCTGCCCAGGATGGGGGTGGGAAAGCAAAGGAAAAATGGAGAACGTTAGCAACTGCATCCTGTCAGGGGTCCCCCGTCCATGTGGCCTTTCTTCCAGCGACAGCACACTTAGCTCAGAACAGATTCACACCCACTCTGTGTTTCCACCGGGCGCGCCGGCTCTGCAATGCGGAGCGCGTTCTCTGAAGGACAGGCCCCGGAGTCACCGCCACAGCCACAGAAAGCGGAAACCGAGCCTCTGTCCAGAGGGGATCCCAGTACATTTCCAGCAGGTTCAGACACAGGGTCCCCCACAAGAAGGAAACAGGACGGAAAAAGTCAGTACACGTATGCTGTGGAGGGTCGAGGTCTTGCCTAGATCTTGGGTGTGGGTAGTCGTAGCCGCTCGCAGTTTTCCTTTCCAGCATCTCTGGGGAGCCTGGAGATGTGCTCGGGGCCGATGTGACACGAAGAGTGACTGCGCCGCTCTGCAGAGGCGGTGGCGGGACGCTGCGCTCGGGCTGGGAAAGGCCGGCCCCAGGGCGACCCCTCCGGAGGCCCCCGGAGAGCAGGTGTGCGCCTCGCCTCCCGCTGGGCAGCCAGTTCAGGAGAAAAATGTGAAGCTTTTATCTAAACAAAATATTTCTTTTGTTAAGGGCTTTCTCCACACTGAGACTTTCTAGCCACGTGAGACTTTGACCTCCCAGTCCCCCAGATTCAGCGCTGGGACCGAGCGTCTGCTGTTATTTTTAGTAGAAGTATAAAAAGAATCTCAAAAGTTTTAGCTCTGGAGAAGGCGTGAATACAGCTGGTGCCTTCACACACTCCACTTGAGCCGCTCTTAAAGAACTCCAGGAGATGAGAAAGCAATACGAAAGCCAGAGCATTGCACATGAGGACGGGCTGGCGGGTGGCCTTTGGGTCCCTGTCGTATGGGTGATTTTTGTAAATGGGGCATTAGAGATGAGTATCGCCTGGATCACATTTTTAGGTTGAATTCCTCCCATGGGGGGAACTTTAGGAATACGCTTCCAAATAAGAATGTAGATTTCAATAATTGTAGTAAAGTGTTTGCCAAACTCATCTCAGAAAAAGACATTATCGAAAGGCATTTATTATCTTCTTAATGCGTGTCTGGCACTGGGCAGACACTGTAGAATACTATCTTGATTAGAGTCTCAAGGATTTTGTACCTGAAGTCCTTTACAAATAAAAGTATTCAGGTATAATCTATTATAAAGACTCTTTTCCCCGCTTTGGGGATATACGGTGTGGTATCAACTCATTGGTCATACCAAAACTGTTACTTCTGTTTTGGAGGAATTAGCAAAGAAAACCCAGGCTTAGCAAATCAACACTGAAGTTCAGAAGTTCAGAGTAATTTGTCTTGGGAACGAAGTCCTCCCTAGAGCGAAGAGGCATTCGCAGGAACTCTCGGTGTTAATGGGATTATTCAAGATATACCTGAGACCAGATAAATATTTGATGATTTTGCCAAGCACTAGAGTTTCTTGACAGTTTTTCTTTGGCTGACGTTTTCCCCCATGGGGTTCGGACTTTGTGGCTTCATCAGATTTTGAAATGAAAGAAGGCTGGGGTTTCCCAAGAGTGCGCTTGTGCAGGAAACAACAGACTAGTGAGGTTTACAAGAGGGGTGTGTTCTCTGTGTGTGTGTGTGTGTGTGTGTGTGTGTGTGTGTGTCTGCCTGTGGGATGGGGGTGGCACGGGGGAGAGAGAGATGTGGGTTACAAAGCTGCCATCTAGAGGCGAGAGGCTCTTTTCTGCAGTGTATATAATGCAAGTCTGCAGCCAGCAGAGCTCACAGTTGTTGCAAACTGCTCAGCACTAAGGGAGCCAGCGCACAGCACAGCCAGGAAGGCGAGCGAGCTCAGCCAGCCGAGCCAGCCCAGAGGTAAGGAAACAGTGCTGGGGCAGCAGCTCTGCTTGGAAAGAAGGCATGGCTTCTGCTCTGAAGCCAAGGAGTCTTTTTCAAAGGACTTCTTTCAAATCGCTGAGATGGGTGCTTTTGAGTCTGCGGGTCTGGTTTCTAAAAACCCAGGCTGTACGTAGCTGCATTGCAAAGTGCTTTTGCTAATTCGGAGGGCTTCACCTTTTGCTTCAGAAAGCAAAGGGCAATTTTCTTAACTCACTTGCAGAAGGAAATTTCCTTGTGTATTTAGGAATCTGGTATTTATTTGCTGTGTGGCTATTTAAGCTCCAGTAAGCAGGGGAACTTTGCAAGAACACAGACTGTCCATTCTGCCTGACCAATTTGGCATGGGGATTAGCTTGGCACCCCCTGTTTACCTGTTTTGCTTCTAGTACATCAGTTTGGAAACAGATAAAATTGGCAGTAAATACGTAATTCCAGAACGATGAACACTTTATGAAGAGGCATCCTTAATGGAGCAGAAAACTGCTGAGAATCTTTGTGAGTCCAAGATGTATTTGAATTCAGTACTTTGGGGGATTTACCAGAGTCTGTAAGTCCGGAAGCTATAAACGTGAATGTTAAATACAGCCCGGTCTTCTCTTCTCTTGATGGCACGCTTGCTAATCTAATTTGAGTACTGTTCTCTTAGAAGGTGTTAAGTCCAACTTCAATTGTTGGGGGGGGGAGTGGAGGGAAGCACACACACAAGTCTACTATTTTGCAATTTAAATATACTCTTCAGGTAAAATGTGGATTTTGTTCAATTTTGTTGGCATGTGCAAAGATTCAAGGAGTGGCTGAGGGAACTTTGGAGTGAGGTCAGGAATGGGTGGTTAGCCAAGACTTGTAACTTCCAGGGAGAATGAGAAGTTGTAAAAGTCAGACTGGCTGTCTCTCTTTCTCTCTTCCTCTTTCTGTCTTTCTTTCCTTTTGCTCACAACAGGATTACTTAGTTTTTCAAAAGTGGGAGAGAGCTTCCTTAACTGGTTTACAGCCCTTTGAACGTATTTGGTGCAGTGACATCCCCTGAAATTTCAGTCTGCAAGGTCTCAACATGGTCACTTTGTTCTTTTCTTGTTTAAGGCAGATGCTGCCTTTAGTGTCGCTTTATTTATTCCAGGAAAAATGTAGACATCAGCTAGGCACTCCTAGCAAAGAAAGTGGAGGCTGCTGGTTTCTGTGCTTTAACTTTCCATAGATTTCAAATGAATAAACTGCTCGTCCTTCTTTCATCAGAATATGAGCTTTCCCCAGATGGAAAGCCTTTTTCTAAAGCAAAGTTGCACATGGGAGCTCTAGCTTGGAAACAATTTGCTCTTTTTTCCCCAGTCTCTGCCATAAACACTTGAATGTGCATACAACTGCAGAGCTTAATGCCACAACCTCCAGGAGATTGGGGGGAGGGGGAAGCTGCCCAGGATGGGGGTGGGAAAGCAAAGGAAAGTGGAGAAATGGCTGTAGTTTGCTGCCTATCAGCCTTTTTCTTTTAAGGGGCAGACGTTGCAGTCGTCGTTTTAAAAAAGTTCCATAAAGTATCGCCAAGGCAGCATGCCTGTGCAGCACACACACGACTTTGGGGGGGGTGTTTCCTCCGTATTAACTGCAAGTCGTTGAAGCGTTGAGAAGGTATTATGATTTTTAATCAGGCCCAGAACAGGCCAAGTATAGGCTTTCTGAATGAAAAAAAAAAAAACACAAACACAAAAAAAACCCCAAAACAAAAAACCCTACTTAATCAGGAACAGTGGCTTTTTGTGTGATCATTTGAGGAGAGAGCTCCTGTTTTCAAGTCGATGTGAGGGAAATTGGTTGAAGTTACTCAAACCTGAGGCTGAAGGGCAGTCACTCTATAAACCTTAAGAGTAACCGAGGGGAAAGAAAAAGACGTCAAAGATTGCAAAACTTTAGATTTTTCTCAGTGATTTTGTACAACATGAGGGGAATTTGGGGCCAGAAGGCATTTGTACCTTTAAACCAGGCAACCGAAGAACTTAGTTTTACTCTTAGAAGCAAGAGCAGTATTAAAATGCCTTCAATTGGATTGCATCTGTGTAGGTATAATTTAGAAGGAAACTAAAGATTGTGTCATGTCAAGTGTTATTAAAGTCCAGGAAAGAAAAGACAAAGCTCCAGGACACATATTTTGTGTTGAAATAAAAGCGAGCAAGCCAGAGATAGACAGATCAGGACAAGGAGGGGTGCAGGGGCTGTTCTTGATTTTGAATACTTGATGGTTTCCTGCAGGGAATATTTGATGCTTTTATCTACTAATTTGGAAGTGGGAAAAAAAGGCATTATTGCTTCGATATTAAAGTGATCAGGGAATTGCACCATTTTATGGTGACAATTTTAAAGAGCCACAGGTAGTTTTGGAAGCAGACTGCGTTTTGTTCCAGGCACTGAAAAAGCGGAGGGGGGCCGAGACTATCTCAGGTGGCCTTGAACCGCTGTCAGCAAAGGGACAGATAACGAGCCCAGGGCAGCGTGGGGGACTTTGCGTTTTGAAGGCTGGGTCAGCCAGATAGTAAGCGTAATTTGCTCTTCCTGCTATAACAGATATGTGGGCATCCTCCCTCAGTTGTATATGCAGAGCCTAAGTTTGCACAGCATCCTCCTGGGAAACCCATTGTGTCTGGCTGAGGGCGGGGGGTGAGGAGGCTCTCCTAGCCTGGCTGACCTCCCACTGCCTCGTCCTTGTCCTAAGCTGGGTGGGAATCAGGGCTCTGATTACAGTGGGCCAGCCCAGACGGCAGCCTTTGTGACGTGGGAATCTCTGGACCTGCTCTTGTGGGTATAGCTTTGCTTCCCTGTCGGGCAGCTGAGCACAATAGACCAGATCAGGTTTCTGGATGTGGGATTTATTTGATCCACCAAATTCTTAAAGTGGACGAGGATGCCCCACGTGTTCGTGTGAAGTATGTCTAAGGACCCTGAGAAGAGGTGGACTGTATCTGAATCAGGGTATAGAGTTTTCTGTAGTTACTGTTTTTTGAGTTCTCAAGCAATTCAAAGCAGGTACGTACTTGCATAAAATAAGATCACTCACGGTCACTAGTGAATGTGCAGTTGAGACTGTTTCCCATTGCTGGCAGCAGAGGTGACAGACAGCTCTCCATTCTGCTCTCAGCCCTAGCGGATAGTCACAGAGAGTCCACCTGGGCCGAAGCTTCCGTGGGTTTCTCCCCTAGGTTACTTGGTTGGTTTCCCCATAGATGTGATGTAGCATTGGTTAAAAACACACAGAGACACACACATGCACCCACACACCCCCCACTCAGTGATGCGCAGTTGCCTAATGGTTCTTCAGAGGTAGTGTGGATTCTCCTGATCTAACTTCCAGGCTCAGCGTAAGCCGGGGCTGGCCTGGTGGAAGAGGTGTTATCTGCTCAAAGAGACCAGAGCGTTTGCTTTTGTAGCATGACTCCCGCTGGAGAGTCCCTGGAGATGTTGGAAAGGGGAAGAGAACTCTGTTCTTAGCCACAAGCCTGCCATAACCCAGTCTCTTCACCTGGCCTGGCCTCAGTTGCCAGGTGTGCAAACAGTGAGGGCCACTGTTCCAGCTCTTGTCTGGGACAATACCGAGTTTCTTCATGAAATTCCTTTGTAGGACACAGGTCTCACACTGCAGAAAGCCAGTGAAGGAGGCAGAGGTCCTGCAGGGCCCAGAGGGCCAGAGGGCCCCTCGTTTGGGAGCTGGTCCTGGGGCCCCAGGCCTGGCCTGGGTTATCTTATCTGTGCCACTGTAGAGGAGTGACGTGTGTGTAGCAGCCTGGTCTGCACCCAGCTACCAGAGCACCCCACTGCAAAGCCGCCTGTGAGGCTCGTGTCACCTCCATTCTCAAAGCTTCCTCTGCCCCAAAGCCATGGCCTTGCTCTAGACCTTCCTGGTTCCTGCATGGACAAGCCCAGGCCACATTCCTTGCCCACCCTTTAAGGCCCAACCCTTACCTCCATCTGCTCTCTGTGGAGAGTCCTTGCCTCAGCCAGGCTGGGTGACTCTACCCGTGGCTGTGCCTTCCTGGAACATCCTTGATCACCGCTACCTCCTTGAAGGCCCCATAAGCCACCAGAGTAGAAACCCCTCATCTTCCTGCTGAAGGGGCATGCACCGCCTTGCTCATGCCTGGGGGCTGATGGGCCTGTGCGCCTTCCCAGTTAGCCAGGGGGGTCTCGGGGATTGTTGGGAGACGTTTCTGATCTGTTGTCCTCACGTGCCCTAGAGCAGTGCCTCCTCGAACAAGAGGCTCAGTCCGCCAACACCAGCTCGGTGATGATTTCAGAAAAGTCTCTCCTGGACGCCCGTCTCCGCTGCTGGCCACAGTCGCTGGTCTCGGTGGACCATGATTAACTGCTGGCTCATTGAGCACCTACTGTGTACAGCTGTAGCTGTATAGCTGTAGAGCTGTAGCTACATAAAGTTACAAAAGACTTGGTGGGGGCTGCGGGGCTTGGTAGGAATGAGGTGGAGGGGCAAGAAACGTGAACAACGTCATGGTACAAAAGACATTCCAGAATAGAGATGTGCGGTGTGGGGCCAGGAGAAGGTGGGAGAATCAGAAGGGCAGAGGGCATCAGTGGGGAAGAGTCTGTGGTTGGAGACTGCAAACATATGGAAGGGAGTTTGGGGGAACACTGGCTGGGTGCCTGAACACGTGGCATTCTCTGGAAGGAACTAACCAGCGTGAGGACATGCTGATTGCATACTTAGCCACCACCCATGGAGGCTCTAAACCTGAGTGCTTCTAATTCTGGCTTCACCCTCAGCTTGCAGAGTGAGCCCAGGGAGACCATTTGGATGCAGCTGAATACCCCAGGCTGCTTGCCGCAGCACGGTCGTTGTCAAGGATACTTGGTTGATGAATAAAAAATCCCAGAAACGAGAGGTGAATCTCCGGGAAAAGTCCTGCAGTTGACAAGAGGAGCCCCATCTGGGCTGTGAGTGACAGAGGAGTCCCTTTGCAGGCCATAGGCTGGAAGGGATGCAGGGCTGGACAGGTGCTCGCCACTGCCAGCCACAGGGAAGTTCTCTCCCTGTCACTGCAACGTGCGACAGGGCCGCTAAAAAGGTGACCCCTGTACGAAGGAATGAATGAGATAAAACAGAGCAGGCGCTGGGAAAAAGGGAATGAAAGCTGACGTTCACTGCTTTTCATTCTCCCTTGGGTCGCTGTGGTCCAGGAAAATGGAACATGAACCTCGATGGTTTGCGGACCATTCCTCCCTTTAAGAAAATTTACATAATTCTTGATGTCAAATTTCAAATAACACAGGAGTTTAAAGAGTAAAAACTACACGTCTCCTTTTGTTCCCTCCTCCTACCCTCCCGGCCCCAAGTTTCATACTTCCTGCAGGTCTTTTTCTATGCCTTCGTGCACATGTATTTACATATAAAAATACACACGTGTAATTGTTGTGTGTCGTTCTGCATAGCTGGGATTGTGCTGTGTGTGTGTGCGTCTGCGCATTGTCTTTCACTGAACAGCATGCCGTGACTCTCCCTGTGGATGAAGGGCGGCCTCCCTCTCACAGCTGTATTATATTCCAGATGGCGGAGACCCAGGCTTTACTGAGTCATGCCTCTGTTGAAAGACATTTATGTTGTCTCCAGTGTTTGCTCGTAAATAAATACTGCTTGAAAAAACATCTTGTGTACATTTGGAGACACATGAATATTTTGAGGAGAGAAATGTGTGAATTTGTATCATCACAGAACTGGAAAGACACGTCTTTTGTTCTTCACTCCCTCCCCTTCCTTCCCCCTGGAATCTTTTACGCAGAAACCTTAGAACCTGAGTGTCAGAAGTGGGTCTCATTCCCCTGCCTGCCCCGGCGTGGGCACGGAGGCCACAGAAACCCAGTCAGTGCAGGTTTGATTCACACCCAGAAATGGTTCTTAGACCCTGGCCTCAAGTGGGAATGGAATTGCTGGTTGATTCCAGCAGAGGGTGACTGGTCTAAGTGGAATGTCTCCTTCAGACCCTGTGGCTATCGGCTGTCCCAGCTTCCCAGCGTCAACAGACCCGGCACAGGCTGAGAGGCATTAAGAACGTATACAAGGACCCAAGGGCTGGCCCATCCAGATCTGTGCGGAATGCAATCAGCTCTTTCTGTATGGGATGAGGTAATCGCCTGCTTTTGCTTGAGGGGACCTGTGATTTCTGTGTAGGGCCCTCTGGGGGTTCATTAGAGGCCTCCCTCCCTCTCTCCACTTTCAGATTTTGCAGGGAGCTTTGTCACCAGGCCTTTGGGAACCAGGGGCCCTGGGTACACATTTCATAGTTTGCCCTATGAAGCCTTTGTTCCTATCAGGGATTCTGAGAGTGTCACTTGTTAAGGTCTAAGCAGGTAATTTAGGAAGATTCTTTGCTCCAATGGCGGACGCACACCATCAGTGAATGGTATTCAATGCAAGTGGGCCCTGCCCACCCTAAACGTCCTGCACGCAGGCTGGGGCGGCCAGAGCCTTTGTCGCAGACCACATTCCATGTTACATGGCAGTTCCCTATTTTGAATAAGGGGATTGATTGTCTTTGTCAAATAATAATCTGTTTTCTGGAGACAGCCCTTGTTTCTGAAACCTAATGCATGAAAAATACCGAAATGACGAAAGGCTGAGCTATTGTATGACACTTTTTTGTTGTTGTTTTTTGTTTTCTTTAGCTCCCATTTAAATTTGCAGAGGACTTGATGACTGCACTGTCTGCTTAATCTCCCTTTTCGCTATACTTTCCTTCCTTTATCTGACCACTGGAGCCTTTGGTGGTGGGAAGGAAGAGGCTGGTCCAGGCCCCTAGAGGAAAGCAGGGGATCAGGGTGTGGACCTCTGACTTCGTTTCCTGGCCAGTCCCAGTGTGGGCTGCTGTTCCTTGGGCTGGTTAGTGATTGAGGATTGGTGATCGGGGATCGGTGACTGATGATGGGTGGCCGGTGATCGGTGGGGCAGTGAGGAGCTCCAGCCTCTGCTCTCTCATTCAGCCCTTGGGCAGCAACAGCCACACCCTTGTTGGAAGTTTCCCACTGTGCCACCCAGGAGGGGAGAAGCAAGGAAAGGAGAGGGCGGCCGAGCGGGGAAGGGCCTATCTCAGAAATATTATTTTTGACTCAGAGGACCAGTGGTTCCTGAATCAAATTTTCTTTCCCCAAAGAGGCAGAGGTAGAAAGCCAAGGACTGGATGGGGGTCTCTGAGCCCTTTTCCACCTCTCAGTCCCACTCTGGGCTCTGAGAATACTGAAGGCTGCTGGTAGCTCAAAGCAGGTGAGTGTCTGTTTCGTGCTAAGAATGGAGGAACTAGAAGGAAGGACACACTGGAGGTGTGGGAACCAGGCATCTTCTCACTGAGTGACCTGGCCTCCTGCAGGGGCCTGTTCATGCCGAGCAGTGGCCAGGCACCTGACATGTCTCTACACTGGAGGGCGAGTAAGACCTGAGCCAGAGGACTGTCACCATGGTGGGGGAGAGAGGTGGGGCGGATTCGGGATCCAAGTTCCAGCAAACAAAGACTGAGGGTCATTTCTTTCTAGCCCCTGTGAATGGCCCAAACCCCAGGATTTATGGCAGCTTCTGCTGAGTGGCTGTGCCAGTGGGGACAGAGCAGGGAGCCCAAGCCAGGCACCAGCCGAGCTGCCCTCTGGCCCCAGCTGCTGTCCCTGCTGCTGCCCAGCTGTGGGGCCGTCCTCCATTCAAGCTCTTCTGCTCCCCGGGACTCTGGGGTCAGATGAGATCACGGGTGAAAGTGTTTTGGAAACCAAGCCATGATGCAAATGGGACAAAGGAAAAGGTGGCTGCAGTAGAGCCATGTGGGAGAGCAAAGGTGACATCCTTGTCTCCTGGAATCACAGGGTGGAGAGTGGAACGTCAGCTCTGGGTGGTGGCCAAGGGAAGGTGGAGATAGTAGCTTCAAGGCACAGCCTGGGGCTGGCTGTCCACCCTGGGGGCAGTCTGGCAGGCCAGGGTTTCCTCGGCTCCCTGCTGGGCCTACGTCCTTTTGGAGTTCTAGAGGTGCATCTTAGGACAGGTGTGCCGAGCCTCCTACTTTGAGTTTCTGTCCTGACCTTGACCTTGCTCACCTCCACGGGCACCCTCCCATGCTTGGGCATCAGGACTTGTCATAAGTCAGTGGTCACAGGGCTTGATTCCTCCTAGTGGGTGACTCTGAGGACAACCAGGCCTCCCGCTGCAGGACCAGCGTGGTTCCCTCCATGAAGGGCTTTCAGAGTGGGGAGGGGATGCGGCTGCCATGGGAGGCCCAGCGCTTTCTGTCGGCCGTGGAGGACACTGAGTCAGGTTAGGTCACCAGGAGGGGACCCCACGGTGATTTACATCCTGCAGAGGGAAGTGCCCAGAAGCCTGCAGCAGTCTCCGCTAAGTGGGGTTCAAGCGAGGTCCTCTGCTGTGAATGATGGGGCTGTGGAGCCGAGGCCGCGCAATTTCTCACTTTTCAGGGATTCTGTTCATGTTGTCCCAAAGGAGAAACCCATCAAACAACCCAGTGTCTGTGTGAGCCTGTGCGTCTCCCTCCACCGGGGATATTTATTACTCAGCCAGTAAAGCCAGTTTTCAAGGGGAGTAGAATTAAACCAGGTTCTGCTTTTTGCTAAAGGGAAAAACCGCTCCCCTTAGGTGGGAGAATCCCCAGGGTTCTTTCTTCTTGGCCAGGGAGGGAGAAGGGGGAGACGTTTTACTGAGCATCGTTTTACTGAGCATCCGCTAGGGCCAAGCTCTGCATTAGGCCTTTTCTTCTTAGGGTATCTGTGAGATAGGTGCTGCTGTCCTGGGGAGGCAGATGCAGACAGATTAACTCTTAAGGTAAATGCTAATGAATAGAGGAGCCAGAATTCCAACCCAGGAATGTCTGATCTCGGCGTGGGCGGCTTCCCAGCTGTGGCTTTGCATACTGCTAGCGTAGCTACCTGGACATTGATCCCCTGACCGTTATCCTTGATCCCCCAGGGAATTCTCAAATGTAAGGTGGAATCCACTTTAAATGAACTTGGTAAATAATGACTTGACCCTAGGCCAGTCATTACCTGGGACAAGTGAGGGGGAAGGGCATCCACCCGACAATGTCACTGTCAACTGCATCCTTGGGCTGAGGTTTTCATTTTACAGTGGGGTTCAGGCAGGGCCAATTGCTGACCCAGGACCATGGCCTGGAGGGATTTCAGGGCCTTCCCATGGGCGGACTGACAGTAGAAGACAGCCGCTGTCAGTCTGTCTGGAGAAATCACTGCCAGATAACAATGGTACCCTGTGGCTGAATTCTGGCTGGCAGTGAAATGGTGACGGAGTGTTGGTCCCACCTCAGGTCAGCAGGGAAAACAGTTGGGAAAATTGTCAGCCCTCCTGAAATGCAACAGTTGGTGGCTTTTGTGCTTTGAGTCTTGGCACACTTTGCTCTTGAAGCAGTTGAACAAATAAAGGAATGGAAAAACAGGTGCTGACCCAGAGCTAGAGACAGCTGGTTGGTTGCCCTTCATTGAAAACCACACTGTCAACCCAGAGTCTTCAGGTTTGGGGCGCAGTTAAGCTGTGGGCCACCTTGTGTAGGCTCACTGTGTTTCCGGAGGCTTTATGACTGCACACTGGGGCTGCCTGAGACGCAGGTTTACATGTGAATTTAGCAGAAAAGTAAAGAGTGCTGAGTCACATTTTAAATGCAAATTTGGAGGAGGATTTGAAATGCTTTCATTAAGACACCAAAGCAGGACACTTGTAATACAGCGGTGCCAGGAGCAGACAACCCTGCCATTCTTTGGGGACGTAGATAAAATGGCTCCACCGTCCCCTGCTGAGAGCGAGCAGGCCATCAGCATCGCGGTGACTGGGGCTCAGCTGCCTGACGTTTCTTTGGCCCCTGTACTGTGTTGATTTCACACCCTGGGCACAGCCAGACTGGCGGTGTCTTGAGAACATAGCCATGAAAAGATGGAGAAAGCAAACACAGTTTCTGTCTTGGAGCACCACATAGATTTAGATTCCGAGTATGTTTTATTTTGTTTTGGAGAGTTTTATTACGGATTTTTTTTTCTCCCTTCGTTGCAAAGACATTATAGAGCTAAACCCAAACCGCTGAGCCTATCAGGGCCTTGGAAAAGCATTTTGCCTGAAACTGGAGTTTTTCCTAATGAAGTGACTTTTCTCTTCCATCTTTTTTGTTTGCTTGGTTTTCTCGTAGGTCATTGGATTGCCCGCCCTCAGCACGATGGATCTGCATGTCTTCGACTACTCGGAGCCAGGGAACTTCTCGGACATCAGCTGGCCATGCAACAGCAGCGACTGCATCGTGGTGGACACGGTGATGTGCCCCAACATGCCCAACAAAAGTGTCCTGCTCTACACACTCGCCTTCATTTACATTTTCATCTTCGTCATCGGCATGATTGCCAACTCCGTGGTGGTCTGGGTGAACATCCAGGCCAAGACCACAGGCTACGACACGCACTGCTACATCCTGAACCTGGCCATCGCCGACCTGTGGGTTGTCCTCACCATCCCAGTCTGGGTGGTCAGCCTCGTGCAGCACAACCAGTGGCCCATGGGGGAGCTCACGTGCAAGGTCACACACCTCATCTTCTCCATCAACCTCTTCGGCAGCATCTTCTTCCTCACGTGCATGAGCGTGGACCGCTACCTCTCCATCACCTACTTCACCAACACCTCCAGCAGCAGGAAGAAGATGGTACGCCGTGTCGTCTGCGTCCTGGTGTGGCTGCTGGCCTTCTGCGTGTCTCTGCCAGACACCTACTACCTGAAGACCGTCACGTCTGCGTCCAACAATGAAACCTACTGCCGGTCCTTCTACCCTGAGCACAGCATCAAGGAGTGGCTGATCGGCATGGAGCTGGTCTCTGTGGTCTTGGGCTTCGCCGTTCCCTTTTCCGTCATCGCTGTCTTCTACTTCCTGCTGGCCAGAGCCATCTCGGCGTCAGGTGATCAGGAGAAGCACAGCAGCCGGAAGATCATCTTCTCCTACGTGGTGGTCTTCCTCGTCTGCTGGCTGCCCTACCACGTGGCGGTGCTGCTGGACATCTTCTCGATCCTGCACTACATCCCTTTCACCTGCCGGCTGGAGCACGCCCTCTTCACAGCCCTGCACGTCACACAGTGCCTGTCGCTGGTGCACTGCTGCGTTAACCCTGTCCTCTACAGCTTCATCAATCGCAACTACAGGTATGAGCTGATGAAGGCCTTCATCTTCAAATACTCGGCCAAAACCGGGCTCACCAAGCTCATCGATGCCTCCAGAGTCTCGGAAACGGAGTACTCTGCCTTGGAGCAGAGCACCAAATGATCCGCCCTGGAGAGGCTCTGGGACGGGGTTGCTTGTTTTTGAACAGGGTGATGGGCCCTGTGGTTTTCTAGAGCAAAGCAAAGTAGCTTCGGGTCTTCATGCTTGAGTAACGTGAAGAGGGGAGCACGTGCCCCCCGCATCCATTCTCTCTTTCTCTTGACGACGCGGCTGTCGTTCGGCTGTACGTGCTGACAGTTTTGCAACAGGCAGAGGTGTGTCGTACAGCAGTGCTGTGCATCAGAGCCAGCTGAGGACGGGCTTGCCTGGACTTCTGTAAGATAGGATTTTCTGTGTTTCCTGAATTTTTTATATGGTGATTTGTATTTAAATTTTAAGACTTTATTTTCTCACTATTGGTGTACCTTATAAATGTATTTGAAAGTTAAATATATTTTAAATATTGTTTGGGAGGCATAGTGCTGACATATATTCAGAGTGTTGTAGTTTTAAGGTTAGCTTGACTTCAGTTTTGACTAAGGATGACACTAATTGTTAGCTGTTTTGAAATTATATATATATATATAAAAATATATATAAATATATAAATATATGCCAGTCTTGGCTGAAATGTTTTATTTACCATAGTTTTATATCTGTGTGGTGTTTCGTACCGGCACGGGATATGGAACGAAAACTGCTCTGTAATGCAGTTTGTGACGTTAATAGTATTGTAAAGTTACATTTAAAAAAAACAAAAAACTGTTCCCGACTGCAAATCTGTGCACACAACGAACAGTCGCATTTCAGAGAGTTCTCTCCATTTGTAAGTTATTTTTTTTAATAAAGATTTTTGTTTCCTAAAAATGCATCAAGTCTCAGTCTTAAAAGTGTGTTTTGGCACTTGAGTAGCATGCGTGGTAGTAATACATGGATATATGCGGCACACACAGGCCAACTGAATGAAGATTTTAGAAGAAGAGTGCTACCGTAAAGCAAAAGCCACCAGGTTAACTTGTTTGAAATGATATAAAAAGAAAAACACTTGCGCACACTGCATAGTTTTTTTTTTTTTTTAAATTTTCAGGCAATAACATGTTTGGTAGCGGGGGATGATTGCTAGGGTCCAGCGAGATGGTCATGGAGAGAAGGCTGGCACAGAGAAGGTGCCACTTGCTGTCCAGACAGGAGAGTTTCAGGTTGCGGGCCTGGTATCCTCATCTCTACCACCTGTGTGCTTCCAGGGCCTGTGCAAAGCCCCTTAAATCTCCTCTGCTAAGGTAAACACCTCCAGGGGCAACAATTCCTATTCAAAGTCTTCATTTAAACTGTGCCAATCAGCTACCCTCTTGAGGCCACACAAAGAGCGAATCCCCAGCTCATGCATGTCCTTACTAGTGGTTGGAAAGAGTGCTCTCAGAATGGCCAGTTCCTGCTGGGCCCTCTCTAACTCTACCTGGAGCCACAAGAATGGCGGAGACTTCAACAGACGAGTCAGCTGGGCAGGGGCCCAGAGAGGGGCTGGGCTCCCAGCACTGCCCTCACCACCTCTACCTCTGCCAAGACCCCTCTGCATAGAGAGCTGTTTGCCAGCACAAAGGCAGTCCCAGATGCTCATCTGACCTGTGAGCTTGGCGGCTGCTGCTAGGTTGGAAAGCACCCTGTGCAAATCCTTGCCCCACAGACCCACAATGGGCAGCTCTGCAGTCCCCAGGGGCCCACAGACTGAGTCCACTGCACAGGGCTCCTATTTCCTGCAAAGGGCTTCACAGCTTAGAGATTTGAAACTAGGGCTATAACTTACTAGAAATATGTTCTTGATACACATGTCCATCCTCAGGTGCACATACACGTGGTCTTACTTCAGTGGGATTCTGATCCGATAACAATAATGTAGGTAGTGGGATAACAGCATACAAAGAGGCAAAGATACCAAGAAGAAGGGAAAATAAGAGTAGGTAGGATGGCAACATGAAATTGGGAAAGGTCTCCACCTAAATATGTGTTCCTTGACAATAAAAATGGATTACATGTTTGCTGTGAGCCTTCTAGGCGTCAAGTTCAGGCAGAAATACATTTTTCCCGTAGTAAATTCAAAGTGCGGAGGGGGAGAGGGGCATCAGTTGTAATCCACACGCTCAGCTATGCAATAGATGGAACTGTAAAAAGGCATTCAACTGAATTGCTGTGCTGAATTGCCATCGCAGTCCATCCAGCGGTCTCTCCCACCCCTTACCCTGGAATTTCAGTAGGCTCCCGGGGGCTAACAGTGCTGGGGTGGGTGGGGGTCTTTCAGGCTTGTCTGTCTACCTGGATGTCTGAGACAGCCACTCCCTGTGCCTTCTGCAGGGCTCCTCTGCCACCCCTGTTCCTGTGGCTCTGGCTGCTGTTTTTGCCTCGCTGGACGGTGAGACTGGTTTGGCCCTGTTCTGTTTTTCTGCTGCTCTGCAGCCCGGGGCTCTCCCAGCTGCCTCCTCCCACACTGCAGTGGAGGGGCAGGGAGGGAGGGTGACACTGAACCAGACCCGGACTCACCAGGCGGCACCCTCTGCTTTGGGGGGATTTTCCGTCTCCCACAGGGCCCAGGGCACCGTGGCCTGCTGTCCCAGACCCTCCGACGTCCCTGGGGTCTGCTGTCTGCAGGGGCAGGCTCCATCTCAGAAATGCTCCAGTGACTGTGTTCTCTCTCTTCCTTCTAGAAATCCCCTTCTTTGTCCTGCCTGGGGCTGGAAGAGTTGCTGGTTTATTCCCAGTTATCTGGACTCAAAATCTCTTTCCTTTGATTTCCACTGCAGGGTCCTTCCCTGGAGCCAGGAGGGATAACAGAGGCTGGGTCAAGGGGTAGAGTGTCCTGAGGGGAGGGGAGTTAATACTGAACAAAAGAAATTCAGCCCCACCCTATGACTGTGGTGCAGAGGAGGCAGAGAGAATAGTGAGCCGTGTTTGGATATGGGGTGGGCCTTGAGGGGAGGAGGGATGGACAGGAGACCCCTGGCTCTCCTCAAATCCAGGGACTAGAGGGCCTGCAGTGCTGCTGTGGGAGGGTCGTCCTTTGGTGTCCTTTTCTCTGGACAGATCTTCCAAGACACCCGCCTCCTGATGTGGTAAGAAAGCTGTTAGCACCATGACCTTGGACCCCAGGAAGGATGTCTGGAGCTCCAGGCAGAGTGGGACCTCAGAGTTGGGAGAAAAGCAGTTTTGACTTTCTTGACGGTGCTTCCTGGATCCTTCTCTCACCCCAGGGAGAGGGGAACATTTTCTTCTCCATTCCTGTCTAATACTCTGCTCCTGTTTCATGGTTGAAATGCCCAAGGCATGGCAGGCGGTGGGCAGCGGAAGGCCACCCCCAGCAGCCCGGATGGCAGCCCGTCATCGGTGAGTCATTGTTAAATGCTTTCCATCTGGTTCAACGTACGAGCTGCTAACCTTGATTGTACCCTGGGTTCCATGCAAGTGAAGAAGAAAAATAATGCCGCTCAAAAGGCCAGATGGAAAATAATCTGGGCACACAGGAATACAATCTATTTGCTGGCCGATGGCTTTTGATCCTTCCAAGAGTCTGGCAGCAACCTGGGATGGGACCCGAGTGATATCTGTGGTCAGATCTGGCAGAGCAGCAATACATTTTAAATCTTCTGTAGCAGGATACTTCCTGGGGCCTCTCCAGGAGGCAGCAGCTCCAGGCCGTGGTCTGTTTCACTAGGAATGTGGAAATTCTGCCTTACTGGACTTCTACTCTGAGGACATTGGCTATAAATACATAATGGATCTGGGAGATGTCACATCTAGGCTAAGCACAGGTATCTCAGAACTCTGGGGAAACGTGGGCTGCTGTGGATCTGCCCTGATGGGATGGATGGCTGAGGAAGACAGCAGAGAGAGTTCCCAGAGCTTCCTCCTGGAGGTATGGGTTTTCGCCCCTGAGTGCCAGGGATACCTCTGCATGGGTTTATGCCACTGAGATTTTAGTCCTTCAGGGGCGGTGCTTTCAGGTGGGTTAAATGCTTTAAAAGATCGACCCACTACTATAGAACATTTCTCACTTCCTGTTTCTCAGTCTTGGATTTCCCAAGAAAAGCTCCCTGGTGGTTTGCATTTACGCAGGGCCTGCTAAGATCCCGCAATCTCGATATCACTGACATTTGATATGGAACAAGATTAGTTTGAATGAGGTTTGATAGGACGTTAAATCACTCGAACGCAGTTGAGATTTACAGTGGTTCATTTGCCTTGAGGATGGCTGAGGATGGCCTGACTCTTCCATAAACTCTTCTGGTAGAGTAGCAGAGTTTGCTCACCTCACAGTCTCTGATGTGCACACACACCTGTGCATACACCTGGACTTGCTACCATCTGTGTGACCAACACGTGCTCTTGGACACAGTTTTCATGTGCGTGTTCCTAGCGAGAGCCTGGGCCACAAGGTCGAGATCCACTTTCTCTAAGTCTCAGGCCTCTGCCAAGTGTGTAGCCCGAAGAGCCATCACTGTTTTCTATCCTGGGAAATGTGGGCCAGGTTTTAGCTTTGCTAAACTTAGCCTCCTTGTTTATAATGTTGCATGATGATAGTACTTGATTCATAGGGCAATCATGATGATCAGATCACACAGTCTCTGCAAAATGCATGTCACGGTGCCTGGGGCACACATAGTGCATGATCGGATTACAACAGCCATTCTGACCACATTCTCCGGGCATAATTTGCATTTTTCTTGAGAAGAAACATTGCATTTCAGAGAAATGGGGCAAGAGAATATCTGCCCATGGGTGGTGAGTGAAAAGATGAGGCACATCTGTCGCACACTCACTCTAACCAGGGCAATTTGCACCTTCAGGAGACGTTTGCCAATGTCCAGAGACATTTTAGCTGTCCCAACTTGGGGTGGGGAATGCTCATGTCATCTTGTGAGTCAAGGCCAAGAATGCTGCTGAACAGTCAGTGGTGCACAGGATGGTCCCCAAACAGAGAATTACTGCTACGGCTTGGCTGTGTCCCCACCCAAATTTTACTGATAGGGCTTGGCTGTGTCCCCACCCAAATCTTATCTTGAACTGTAGTTCCCATCATTCCCACGTGTTGTAGGAGGGACCTGCTGGAAAACAACTTGAGGCAGCTGGGAGAAAAGCAGCTTTGGCTTTCTTGATGGCGTTTCCTGGAGCCTCCTCCCAATCATGGGGGCAGTTTCCACCATACTGTTCTTGTGGTAGTGAATACGTCTCATGAGCTCTGATGGCTTTATACGGGGTTTCCCTTTTCGCTTGGCTCTCCTTCTCTCTTGCCTGCTGCCATGTAAGACTTGCCTTTCACCTTCCACCATGATTGTGAGGCCTCCCCTAACATGTGGAGCTGTGCGTTCATGAAACCTGTTTTTCTTTATAAATTACTCAGTCTCAGGTACGTCTTTATCTGCAGTGTGAAAACAGACTAACACAATTACTGAGTCCCAAATGTCAACTGAGTGGAGGTGGAGAGACCCTGGCCTAGGATAAAACCAGTCATTAAGACACAAGCCTTCTTTCTGGATGCCATTCACTGCCTGGGGAATTCACTGAGGGTACAAAGAGCACCTGGGGAAAAGCATCTGAGTCCTTAGAGCCGTGGCTTCTCTATTTCCTGCCCCTCAACTCAGCAGAACCCTAACAGGCCAGGGCAGCGCAGACAATCATGCTATGTGGATTCATGCCAGCATCTCCACTGTGCCCGAATATGTTTCAACTACAGGAATTTGGGGCATTTGCCATTTACATAAAAGATGTACTCCTGAAATAGGAACACACAAATTAAACATTAGTAGACATTTTAAGTACCCTTGGGAGGTTTTAAATTTTAGTTTAAGATTTAAAGTATTTTGCCTTAAAAGCTCCAGAAAG